TTTTTTTTAAGATTTCCCCTTTTTTTTAAGCTTTCCCAGTGTTTCAGCTTTCCCATTTTTTTTAAGCATTCCCAGTTTTTCATCTTTCCCATTTTCAAGCGTTCCCAGTTTTCAGGCTTTCCCATTTTTAAAGCATTCCCATTTTTTCAGCTTTCCCATTTTTTCAGCTGTCCCATTTTTAAGCATTCCCACTTTTTAAGCTTTCCCATTTTTAAGCATTCCCATTTTTCAGCATTCCCATTTTTTAACCTTTCCCATTTTTAAGCATTCCCATTTTTCAGCTTTCCCATTTTTTCAGCTTTCCCATTTTTCAGCATTCCCATTTTTCAGCATTCCCATTTTTCAGCTTTCCCATTTTTTCAGCATTCCCATTTTTTAACCTTTCCCATTTTTCAGCATTCCCATTTTTCAGCATTCCCATTTTTCAGCATTCCCATTTTTTAACCTTTCCCAATTTTTAAGCATTCCCATTTTTCAGCATTCCCATTTTTTCACCTTTCCCATTTTTTTCAGCTTTCCCACTAAGTTTTTTCCATTCCCAAACCCTGGCACTGCTCATAAGCTCTCCCAACACCAGGCTGTGCAGGTTTGGAGCCTTTGCCTCTCCCAGCTGCTCTCCAGGGGGGGGCACAGCCCCACTCACCCTCCTCCAGGGGTAGATGTAGGCGATGTCCATCAGGGTGTAATACTCCTTCAGGGGCTCATCTTCATACAGGACTTCCACCTAGAGCAGGGGACAGCATCAGGCCCCCAGCATGGGGACAGAGGCACCTCCAGCACCCCCAACCCCCCCTCCAGGCTTTGCCATCCCCAAGTGCTCCCCCCAGCACCAGGGGAGGAGATTCCAATTCCAGAATTTCCTCCAGAAGCTGGAGCAAATTCAGAGTTGACAAGTGACAGGCCAAAGGGGACAGATCCTGCCCCAGCAGCCACCCAGGGATGCAAAGCCCAGGCTGCTGGGGTACCCGGGAGCAAGCCAAGCACAGAGTGTTTGCAGTGGAGGAGGCAGCAGGGGATGGGCAAAATGGCATCAGCCCCTTTGAGCCCCCCAAAATCTGGATGTGGACGAGGGGACCCAGGCACCCTCACCAGCAGCCTGCCTTGGCTCAGCACTGGTGTGGGCAGCAGGAGCAGGGCAGGGATCATTCCCGTGGACTGGGCACTGGGGAGACCACAACTCGAATCCTGGGGGCAGTTTTGGGCCCCTCCCTCCCAGAAGGACCTGGAGGGTGG